GTCATTAGGCAAGAGACAGTTCACCTTTATATTTCAATTCTTAGTTCAGCTAGAACATACTTATTTCCTGAACCAGATAAATTCAAAACTCGAAAGCAGTGGTAACCATTATGGGTGAAAAAGTATCGTGACTTGAAAACTTAGTTCTAATGAATAATTTTCTTGCGCTTGTTAAGTCGAGCACGCGCGTTAATCGAAGATCTCAGTGGGTTATCTGATAGTCATAGCATATATTTCTAATTTAAAGTCTTTAAAATCGAATATGGGGGCATATGGTATAGCAAACTAAGGTTGTACTGCCTATAAGGCGTCAAACTCATTGAACAGTCGTTAATCACAGCGTTAGTGTAACCTTGTACTGGTTCAACTATCAACAACTCTCCGGTAAAGAACGACATTGCAAAATATTATTGCCAATACTTCCTTCCTTAGTGAACCATAATGTAAGTTCCGATAAGATATCTTCTTTTTTTTTTTTTACATATATCTCGGTTTTGTTCAAAGTGGGATTTTTATTGGGTTTTTACTTAAACACGTCACACACACACACACACTTCGTATCGTAGTTAGATCCATGTACCTTTGTCAAAGATGGCCGAAACCTATTCAACAGTAAATAATACAACACAGCTATATATTAAACAATTCAAACCCTTTTTAGCTCTTTTTTCCTTCTTACAGATCGTGAATTTGATTAGTATTACTGGAGTATCACCTAATGACGCACATCAGAATAATCGTGGAATTTCTAACGACCTGATTTTTTGTTTTTAATTTTTCTTTTGGGAGGAGACTTGAGGTTGATTACAATTTAAAGTCTTTTGTCATACGACAAGTCTCGAAACCTAGAAACCATGATCGTATGAACATTTCGCATTGTTTTCTACATAAACAAACAAATGGAACCTTAGATACAAGGATAAGCTTCACTGTTTAACTATCCTTACAATAGCGAGTGAAGAAAAGAAAAGAAATGTTTCGAATAGAAATTCTCCAAACATTTTACTTCTATTTTTACACTACGGCCACAGAATCGTGCAAACGTGCTTCTTTGCACTTTCGGGTTGGCTAGAGAGAAGTAATTGTAATAATTTCTAATTTTCACCTGGCTTCCTTTGAGTATTCATAGCTGGTATTGCATTGTACATTATAAGTGCCGTACAATCTCTAGAATTCTTTTGAACAAGTTTGATCTTCGATGAATAGACAATTACAACAATGTACTAAATTATTAACGATCCCAAAATATTTTGTTAGTCTCTTGTAAAATGCCGAATAGCTTAGTAAAAATATATTAATTTTTCCATGAAATTGTTATACCGAGAACATTAGCCATAATTCCACTCTTTCATATATATCATAATTTTTTCATCCTGTTCTCAAAATTTTACTTTCGCCATTATTTTTTTACCTTTTCTTCGTTTTGTTTTTTAAAATCATATCTCTCGAATTTCCTTTTTTTTCTTCTTCTTCTTCTTCTTCTTTTTTCTTAGCAAATAATATGTTTTGCTGCAGAATTTACTCCTAATGATAATAATTTCGGGTTATAAAACTCGTGGAAATTATGCGCTTGAACGAGAAAGTATTGCGGATTGTGGCTAAGGAAACTACGTAGTGAAGCGTGACTAAGTGTGCTGGGGTCCTGCCTTTACAACGATTACAAAAACAGGAACTTTCTAATCTCAGCATGTCCTAACTTTTTATTCAAACAAATGCACTGCAAAAGATCCTTAGAATTGGCTAAACGGATCATAGAAACAGCATTTCGAGGTAGAAAATCCAAGTTTCGTTTTATATATTGTTTTTATAGCACAGTTATTAAGTGAGTTTAGGCGCGTGTTAGGATTCTTGATTATAACCCATTCATGGCTGAAGAGCTTCGCAAGTTCCTTTGTTCCATTTAATTTCATTGACTTTGGTTTGTTCATTTTGTACTCTTTGTTCTAAGTAACAAAACAGTTTGATCTTTATTTTTATTTTTATTTGTTGGCGTAACAGTCTTGTGTATGCCATTTTTAGCCCTTTTTGCTCTTTATCAAAATATCAAGTCCTTTATTTTTTCTTCAAAACACAAAAATCAAAACTATTAAAGAAGACAATGCTAAAACGAAGAAAAATCTTCATAAGAATAATCCCTGCTTACACAAAAACATGTCCAGAATAAAAACCAAGGTCCTTTTAGTTAATGCAGTTGTTTACTAGAGGAGTAAATCTACCCAACTCTTCCATAATTAGCTCAAATAATTACAGAAGCTTACCAGGTTTTTTTTGTTTTTTGTTTTTTTGAATGTTTTCTATTATAATCTAAAACGTACCTGCGACATCTGGTCAAAGTGATGAAAACTCTGAAGTGTCCAACTAGAAGAAACTAATTACAAATATAGAATGGTCTGCAAATCATAGAAAATCTTTGCTTAAGTTGAATTAGCTTCTCTATGCTTGATTACTTTATGTGGAATTTCACTTTCGGAATATTTGAGATATCTTCAAACTTCAACAAATCGACTTAATTGAATTCAACCACGTTTGTAAACAAATCTACTGCTAAGCCGGTACATAAGGCTTCATATTATATAAAGACTCCACACTTAATACTCGGCTCGGTTTTTTTTGTAATAAAATACTCTTGTGACCGAAATTTTCGTTCCACATTTTTTAGCGTTGAATGAAATATTTGAAATCATTAAACAAAGCTTTGTTTTATATTTTTACTATATTTTTAAATTCTTGGCCTGATTAGCACTACTTGCTTATCCACGTGTTTGGCAACAGGCATTTCTCGTGTTTCCTTCCACGAAATAAGAAACCAAGTAATCTTCTTTACACCTTATATCAAAACCTTTAAAACTATTAGCTATATTTATATACATATTATTTTTGATTCTTGAACGGTATTAATTATGTACAAGAAAAGCGGAATTCATTTAGGGGAGTTTCAAAATGTTTTCGACTGGTATCCATCGTAAGACCAAAAGATCGGAAGTTCGCGATCAAAATTAGATTTTCTGAAGTAACTTGACAAGTGATTCTAATTCAGTACATTTTTTAATGCCGGCAATTGAATGTTATGTACTTATCTTGCAATAATAAAAAACTGCTATTAACGAGTATAATTTTGAATTCAACTCAAAATTAATCAATTTAAAAAATATCAAAACTTTTTAACCCTTTCAGACTAGAGTTACGAAAAAAAGGGAGTTTCATCTTGAAATTATCGAAATTATCCCCACATATCCATTGTTTCAAATGTTTTTAAAATGGTATAATATGAAGTCCGTCTTAGTTCGTTAGACTAATTAAGTTTGGCTATAAGTTGTGGTTTATTAAGCGAATTGTTTACCAAGCATCCTAAAGTTGTTTCAACTATCACACCTTGTGAATAAATGCCTACTATTTACTTCCACAAATATCTCATTTCCTAAAGGCTATATTAAAAGGAAAATCTACGTCATGATCATCTTCAGTTAGTTAACCTGCTTCCGGACAGATTTAAGATAATTATGAGTGTAAATATATAAGATTTTTATCTGTATTGGCGTGGTGTTACCTGAATACCCACAGCGAACGAAATGTTTTTAAACGCCTTGAAAACGAAAGTCGAATATTTCCACGTAGCAAAATTTAATATCAGATAAAGAAATGCAGTAGAAATTAAAAAGAAGGGCAAATAGATGGTGAATTCCTACGAAAATATTATTAGTTCAGGATGAGTAATTATTGTTTGTTCTGATTGGAGTCGCCTTATTGAATTCCAACATGAACTTGATTCTAAAATTGTCCTTAACCATTGATTCGTGTTCAGCAATGGATAAACGATAGCAGTGGGTGGTTAGTCAAGACCTGTGATACTGGTAACAAGAAACAAAACAAACTTCTGGAGAGAACTAGTGCCCGCCATGTGTGAAGCGGCTAGCTAGTTACCAAGGACCCGTGGCGCTGTCCACAATGATTTCCCTGGGCTAGCAACACAACTGATATGACATTTTAATTTTGTTTCGTAAAGATAATTGGGAAAGCTATTAAACAACATTTGTTTGCGCTGTGATAAGTCTAATTTACGTTCGATTCTGCAAAGAAAATATTCGTTACCCAAAAAGGTATTAAATTGAAGCCAAAAGTTACAATATTTTTCATCTTTTTCCCCCATCACTGTAGGTGTTTAAAAATGAAGGCGAAAACACAAAAAAATAATCGAACTTCGTTGGGAATCGGTTGACAAACAAATCATAACTCCAAAATAGTATTAAATTTTTATTTTTGTCTTTCCTTTTTTTTTCATATCCTCGGACAAAATAGGCTCTAAACTCGATAGCATAGAAATTTGAAATCAATAACGAGTTTAATAATTTGATGTAAAAGAAAGGCGTTAAGCGTAATTTTGTCCCAATTCGTTTTAGTTAAATGGGCCAAATTAAGTAGTTAAATTAGCAATAACAGTGAAAATGGCGAGATTCAAATTCTAAATGAGTGAAGTTTAATTTGTTTGACAATCTTAGTAATGTAATAGACTCACCAGATACTAGAAACTAGAAAAAATACTGTTTGTGATTACACAGGAAAACTCAATACCGTCAATCGCAAAGCTAACTTTGATACAATTCCAAGTAGATCGATGCAATCTTAATTATTATTACTCGAGGCCGCCGAAAAGACTCAAGTGAATTCCCAACAATCGGATTGTCAGTTAGTGTTGGCAGGTGATACGAGAGTCACTAAATCCTTTAAAAAGAACATTATGGGGTCACTATATCAATGTACCCGTAAATAGGCAGGCTCTAGTCATTCAGAAATACGACAATACAAATTTCCCCCAGACAAGAATTTTGACCGCCAAAGTTAGAAACCCTACTACAAGACTGTCACGGCTTTGAGAGAAAGCTTGAGGTAATCCTGAAAGCTTTAGTTAAAAGTTGTGATACAATTAACCGGGCTTTAAACTGTTTTCTGGGATTTTAAAGATCGTTCATTATTTATGATTTCTTTTATAATACTCACAATAGCGTACGTAAATTGGCAATAGCAGCACACGTGGGTCTAGTATTTGACTAAGCATATATAGGCTGAGAGAACTCTCGACCGACAGCATTCGTCACTGACCTGCCTACCGTTCAAAGCTCAGTCATGTCTTCCTCATTCTACATCGATTCTTTGATACAAGTCTCCAAAGCCAAGTCTGCATCGACATCGTCAGACCCAAGGCGTCACTCGTATGATTCTCCAGTTCCTTGTTCGTGTTGTTGGAGTCCAACACAACCCGAACCACCAAACAGCTTATGTCAACTCTGTATCCCTTCGAATCCTGCTGTTCATCAGTTCATGCACGTCCGTGGAGCTACTATTCCTACAGCTGCACTGTATTCACGAGAACTGACCGCCAAGGATCATATCTTGCTTCAACAACGCTACCCTACAGATGAAGACCGCGCTCACCTAGCCGATTATGGTAAGTTTTTATCTTCAAATCTTCATTTCTGCTGTTGAAAAGCCTAAAGTGACAGGTGTTCGTTCATCTATAACCCTGTAATGAACCCTAAATCTCTGATCAACGATTTAAAGTTCGAATTATCTAATTACAACAATGGCTACAACTATTTATCTAATAATCGTTTCTTGTTTTTTTCCAGTGTCTTCCCGAGACTCCAGTAACCTAAACAGAGGAAATTCAAGGTCCAAAAGAATCCGTACTGCTTACACAAGCATGCAACTCCTGGAGCTAGAAAAAGAGTTCAGCCAAAATAGGTATTTATCTCGTCTAAGAAGAATACAGATCGCTGCCCTACTTGATTTATCAGAAAAACAAGTCAAAATCTGGTTCCAGAACAGAAGAGTAAAGTGGAAGAAGGACAAGAAAGCTGCTCAACACGGGACCATTGTTGACAGTCCGCAGTGCTCGCCAGGCTCGCCAACGAGTTAAAAAACTAGAATCTAAGGTAGAAGTGTACATCCTGCACTATTCCAACTTGTTCAAATTTGTATAGATTGTATAATAATGTATATAAAATATATTAACTTTAAGTTATATTCCATGAAGGAAAAAGTCTTGACCAAGAAAAAAAATTTTGAACTGAAATGACGTGAACTTTAGCCAAGTTAATAGGCTCATTTATCTCGGGTTTTAATTAGTTTTACCACATAATAGCATTTTACAGTTTGTAATTATTGATCACGATCATCTAGCCAAGGGTTTTATCCAAGTTAGTTTTGTGTTTTGGAAGAAAGTCTTATGAAGAATTAAAAAAATAAATTGCTTCAAGGCTTCCTTACTGAAGCGACAACAGAATACTCACTTTCTGTTCATAAAAAATATTTTATAAATCTATATAGCATGCTTGTTTGTACAAAATATCAGTCATCTCAACTGGAATTACCAAAAATAAACTATTTGATAATTGAATGTTTGAGAGTCTTTTCCTCGAATTAGCTCGGGGATATTTGTAAAGAGAAAGGTTTGCCAAGAAAAGGGTTTCAAAATCTCCGGGGAAAAAAACACAAAGAAACATCCCATCACATCGACACAAGCGCGACCCCAGTACAAAAAAAAGTGTTTTGAAATGATGATAAAATGGCCGGGTTTTTTTTTCCAAGATAATATCTCCAGTTCAGCCTGCGTCGATTCACAATTGAAACTACTCCAGGAATCTATCGTGTCTTAATAGAGTTAGCGCGTGCCATTGAATAAGGAATTCTCATTTCTTTCTTATAAGTATCACCACCATATTCATTAAGTCTCTTATCGATCTTTATCGAAGTTTTTTAAACCGTATCTAGCCTTTTCTCTTTTTGACCGTGTTAACTAACTCGCGATGTTTTTTTTTATTTTACCCCAACACGCTTTCAGAAGTATTAGGTATTTGGTAATTCTATAGCTCGATGTTATATCGAAGGGTTTTGGAGAAGCGCAGGCACGGCGCCGTGCTGGTTTCACTTAAGAACAATTTCAAGCTTCAAAAGTCGATAAGTTTTCCACTGCACTCAAAAGTATTGAACAGTTTTACACCTGTTAAAGATCAACTTTTTAACAGGTGATATTTTTGGCTTTACAATGTCCATGTTCTATCTTTCTTTCTTTCTTTCTCTCTCTCTCTTTTCATGGCGTATCTTATGGCAACGGGCGCGTTGGTTTTGACAAGCAAGACAAAGGCGCGTTCAAGCGATCCTTCCTTTCCAAAAACCTGTTGTTATACTTTACTCTTTAGGCACAAAACCCAAATATGAGCGCATCTAGCCAGAGTATCCATCCCAGTCAACTACTTTCCTGACATTAGATGAAAATTCTCTTGCTCACTAGACTTATTTACTAATAAGTCATTTTAAGATCTTTCAGAATTAAATCTGCTGTAAACATCGCTTCAAGACACCGTAGCTAACGAGTTTTAAAGACTCATTTAGTTCAATATTGAAGACAAATACAACCACCAGCTTAGTGTTATCTATGCAAAAAAAAAAAAAAAAAATCTTCCTTCTCGCGTGGGGCAAAATTTCGCCCGAAACGTTTTGGGCTGTTGCCAGGTTCAGCTTTATCGCATAAATACAAACGCGGTATGTAGCATCCATTGCAAGGTTATTTGAAAGTGCGATTTCGAAGACTATAGCTGAGTTAACATCCTGCGAGAAGGGATACAAGTCATGATAATTAGTCATAACGAGTGAAGCGAATCAAAACAAACTTTCAAACTGCCTGAAAATTAGTGATTAATTCAACAATTTAGAGTATTCAACTGATACTCAGAAGTTAGCCTAGCGCTACAAAGTCAACGTCTTTTATTTGTTTTTAAAAGACAAGCCACGAGAGCCTGCAATAGACACAATCTATCAATTTTTTACTTGCATATTTAAGGTTTTCATTGGTCCTAGAGATCAAATTAGTGAAGAGTTGGTTGTTTTCATGTTTGGGGGCAAGGAGCCCGCCATAAGCTGGGCCCCGACAGTGAGAACTTAGTTTGTCTATAATCCCACAGCAGTATCCGTCCACAATACATGCAACTCATTCCGATTTTAAACACTTTGATAACCTATTTCAATTAGTGCGGTCAATTTCCGTTCGTGATCTGTTCGCCTAACAGTCTATATGGAGCTAAATGGCTATGATATTCTATTAGAAAGGTATTGAGTAATTTTTACTGCAGAACTATCGGTCAAGCAACTAATCAATTAAAATTTCTTTCTTTCCCTTTCTCTCTTTCTTTTTTTCTTTTTTTCTTTTTTTCTTTTTTCTTTTTTTCTTTTTTTTCCTTTTTTCTTTTTTCTTTTTTCCTTTTTCTTTTTTCTATTTTTCTTTTTTTCTTTTTTCTTTTTACTTTCTCTTTCTTTCTTTCTTTCTTTCTTTCTTTCTTTCTTTCTTTCTTTCTTTCTTTCTTTCTTTTTTTTCTTTCTTTCTTTCTTTCTTTCTTTTCTCTCTTTCTTTCTCTCTCACTCCCTTTSTCTCTTTCTTTTTCTCTCCCTTTCTCTCTTTCTCTCCTTTTCTTCCTCTCTTTTTCTTTTCCACCTTCTCTTTGCCTGTTTCCTTCCAATTAGATAGCAGTAATATTTGGGATTTTTATGATTACAACGTAAAACCTTTTCTAATTAGAGGAAACAGTTAATCGAGCTCGTGCTGACAATAAAAGATTAGGTCGAGTTTACAGCAAAATAAAGATTAGCAATGCGGCCACAGTCTTAAGAGCATTACCAGCTAATTTCTCTTTTACCTATTCACGAGAAAAATCCTTAAAATTTAACAGAGAAAAAATATGTTTAAACGTTCATTGAAATTTTCAGTTGACGTTTGAGGCGCGCGTGTGAGGTTTGGAGACAGATTGTTGCCTCATATCATGAACATAATGGCACTTTTAGCTCATTTCATCCCTGTTATAGTGTAATTATAGCAATTTCCTCGGATTTTGGAAATATTGTCTTACAAGGCTATTTCAATTAAGATAAGAACAGACCCATCAATCCCATATAATTTGAATTGGCAAACTTGCAAATCGTTTTCAAATTTCATTTTCATTGAATAATTTCAAAGCAACTTTTTCACTTGGTTATTCAAGGGAGACGGATATCAAGTTTTCGTTTGTTTTAGATGCTTTTCAGTAATCCTAGAAGTCAAACGTAAACTCGACTTTTTCAAGCGATTTTTATTATTTTGAAGGGAATCTTTTTTTAAAAAAATTAGTTAAGTTTACATAAAAATGACTTGAATCTTTACCTGGTTGTTGTTTTGATAATACAGCCAGCCAATTTCCACTCCAAACGCTACCAATTTCAAAATAATTTACCTACGAACATATATAAATGACTCATTCTCTACGCTTACCAAGCAAAAGTCCTTTACTCTCGGCTTTTCCCCCTAAATTCTCTCTCTCAAAAAAAAAAAAGTTTTTAAATTGGAAATTAATTTTGAGAGAATTTATATCAGCAAAGAAAGAATTACAAACGGCAGACAAACACTTAAAAGTTGAATGATAATATAAGCGCAAGTTTGTATTACCATCACAGAAATCCAGAAATATCTTCCTAAACCCACCTCCTTTCTTAAATTAAACCCTCAGGCTAACTTTGCGGTAGGAAATCTGGCAACGTCTTGATAATTTCAACTTATATTATAATTTGAGGTTACGCGATTAATTATTTTACAAAGGAGCTCAAAAATGCCTTTTCTTTCTTTTTTTTTTTTTTTTTTTTTTTTTTTTTTTTTGTAATTACAGTTCTTTTTTGTTTTGGCGCCTTTTTTCCTGATTCATCATCGTACGAAGGAACTCAAAAATGTCTTTTTTTTATGTACAGCTCTTTTCCTTTTTGGCGCCTTTTTTCTGTTAGCGAAATCTTAAAGGAGTCCGGCTTTTTGCAAGCAAATTCATTTTATTCGATTGGCACCTGTCGTTTTGGCTCTATACCTACGATATCCTCTGCTATTTCTTCCAGAAGTAGCTCTCACAATGGTTTTGTGCGGGGCTATTGAGGACTACTTGGTGTCTATCCATGTTACGAGCCGTAATTTTTTTTAATTTTTTATTTAATAAAAGAACCTAAACTGAAGTTTTAACAAATCGATGTTGTCTATTTGTTCTTTTGAATAATGAATATTGTTAAATTATCTATTTTCGATAACACATATTTACTCGCAATTAGTATCGAGTTCTATCGAAATTATCTGTTGATTGTCTAAGATTTGAAAAGGTTTTTTCTTTTTAGATAAGGTAATGATACATCTTCAAGAGTTTACATTTCGTAAAATCTCAAAACTTCAAAAGGGTAAAGTCTAATTCAATTTCAAAAGAAATAAAAGAGTTTGGGCGTTAAGAGGGACTTTACAGTTTCTGGTAACTCGACACTTTGTAGGAAACCGTTACGAATGAATTAAAAGAAAACCCGAGAAACAAAAGACAGCTAGTTTGAGATGTGAGTGGCCAAGATGGGTGACCGACTTCGAACAGGTGAAAATGAACAAATTAAAATGACTAACTATTTCCCCTTGGGCAAAGTAAAAATCATTGAATCGCCCCTTTGAATTAGGCAACTGTGCAGTTCCTGCCAGATGAAAAAAATTTCTTTGTTGTCTTGTATCGAAATCGAGGAGAAAAATAACCGGAGATTATAGCAATTTGATGTGTAAAAATGAAATTAATTACCGCAATAGGGTTTAATTCATGGGAAGCGTTTTGAAGTATTTACCAAAAACCAATAAACACAAAAAGAAAGGATACGAAAAGTGCAAAACAAAGAAAAAGGCGTTCATGATAACACATGGTTTTAGTTCAAAGTTGGCAAAATCACACCTCCATTTATTAAAAGCAGATCTTTTTTATTAGTATAAAAAATATAATTAGTAGAACTCAAAAGTGCAAGAAAAATTGCTGGGAAAGGCGTTTTAAAAATTATTAAAATTTGAAGTGATTTGGAAATTAAAAGATTATGTATTCGTAAAGACGTGTAATTGGAATCTAGTTTTGAAAAAACCAGAAAACCTAAAGAAAGGGAAGAAAGAGTGGATTCAAAGAGGTCTATTTGGTAGAAATTGTTTTCTAAGAACAAATTAACAATGCTTTAGTAAGGATCGCTGCATTAATAAAGATAAAGAGTACACAGTCTTGCTAGAATATGAAATAATGTTGATGGCTTGAAGACAGGTGACAGCGCGCCTAATTTGTAACAGAAGAGCAGTTAAATACGCGTGCATTGCCTTCCGGAAAAATAACCTCGCTTTATGAACAACCAAAAAGATATATCCTTTCACATTAAGCATCCAAAGCTCGATCTTTTAATTACAAAGATGGACGGAAGTTGGACGCCTTGTCAACCGAATGTACTTGAAATCGATTATTAGTTCTCTAATGACGGTTTCTCGTTTCGGATACGGACTATCATTGTGTTTTACTCATGACTGGAGCCAAGGATCTATTTAAACCGCTT